TACAGTCCTTTGTGGCATCAAATTCTAGTGAATCATCTCAGGGAACTCTTTCCTTCAATCACTACAATGACCAAAGTGACCAAAGTGGCAAAGTGACCAAGTCACTCTGATGTCACGATTCTCCCGTGATCCGGCAAGGTTATTAAAAGGCCTCCCGTGCGTGTAAACTACAGAGTTGATCACCTCAAAAAATGTTAACTCCCAGAGCAATCCAATATACCTGGCGTTATCGATGTACACAGGCCACAAACCAGGACCCACTATTATTTAAATATCTAACCATCTCTCTCTCTCTCTCTCTCTCTCTCTCTCTCTCTCTCTCTCTCTCTCTCTCTCTCTCTCTCTCCTCTCTCTCTCTCTCTCTCTCTCTCTCTCTCTCTCTCTCTCTCTCTCTCTCTCTCTCTCTCTCTCTCTCTCTCTCTCTCTCTCTCTCTCTCTCTCTCTCTCTCTCTCTCTCTCTCTCTCTCTCTCTCTCTCTCTCTCTCTCTCTCTCTCTCTCTCTCTCTCTCTCTCTCTCTCTCTCTCTCTCTCTCTCTCTCTCTCTCTCTCCTCTCTCTCTCTCTCTCTCTCTCTCTCTCTCTCTCTCTCTCTCTCTCTCTCTCTCTCTCTCTCTCTCTCTCTCTCTCTCTCTCTCTCTCTCTCTCTCTCTCTCTCTCTCTCTCTCTCTCTCTCTCTCTCTCTCTCTCTCTCTCTCTCTCTCTCTCTCTCTCTCTCTCTCTCTCTCTCTCTCTCTCTCTGCAGCTGCAACTAAAACAGTACTAGAGCAATGATAACGGCTCATACTCGCAACTACAACAGTTCTGCAGCAATGATAACGGCTCATACTCGCAACTACAACAGTACTGCAGCAATGATAACGGCTTATACTCGCAACTACAACAGTACTGCAGCAATGATAACGGCTCGTACTCGCAACTACAACAGTTCTGCAGCAATGATAACGGCTCATACTCGCAACTACAACAGTTCTGCAGCAATGATAACGGCTTATACTCGCAACTACAACAGTACTGCAGCAATGATAACGGCTCGTACTCGCAACTACAACAGTACTGCAGCAATGATAACGGCTCGTACTCGCAACTACAACAGTACTGCAGCAATGATAACGGCTCGTACTCGCAACTACAACAGTACTGTGCAGCAATGATAACGGCTCGTACTCGCAACTACAACAGTACTGTGCAGCAATGATAACGGCTCGTACTCGCAACTACAACAGGAAATGACAGATTGGAGAGGGAGCTCATCTAAACTTCAATACAGGGGGACGATTATTAATACAGGGGGACGTGTGAATACTCTTACCGCGCTAATTAGTAATTACTAACGAATGAATGGGTTATTGAGACTCATCTGGCAAGTTGTTGTACGTTCCCTACTATAGTTATATTTACATAAAACACTAAGGAAAGTGGTGCTACTATAATTGCAGCCTACACTTGATCAGAGAGGAGAGGCCACATTGTTGTATCCTTGGGTTGTTGGTCTCCCTGAGACTTACGAGATAAAGTAACGAAACTGCAAGACGATGAACTACCATTGAAATCTGTGGACCTCACCAAGCAACTGCAACTAATAAATAATTATAAAGGTACATGGTCCGACTACCATATCTAGTTTCCACATTTAGTAGTCCAAATTATATTAAAGTTGGACAGAAATTTGCAATTTAAATGGAATTTTATGAACGTGAGGCAAGGAAGTAATTAGAGTTAAAGATTACCATGTCGGAGAGACTAAGTATACAGAACTTTCAACAAAGATTCAAAGATTAATAACCAATGCCAAAATATGACAAGTACTGGACAGGGACAAATTGAATTTTAAATTTATCCGCTGTTATGATATTAGTTTATACCGGAATATCAAACAGGAATATCAAAGAAACGACCAAGTCTGGCACAAAGTTCCACAAGATTATATTATATTTCAATGGATATTAAACCTACTCCTTTGAACACCTTACAACGCAAGTTATTTCGGGAAAACCCTCAATCTCAAGTTTTTAGCACCATTACCGGGCGCACGAGTTGTATTCCCATGAAAAACACTCTGCCTCAAACAATCTAGCTTACCAATCTAGGGAGTACCATGAAGATATGAGATAAGTGATTCATGATGGGCACACCGCAAACTACTAAGCACTAGATACAAATCAACAAGTAGGAGATAAGAATGCCAGGAACAAAGGTGGGCTGAGTACTAACATAGTTAGATAAGCTAGATGACAGTTCACCAGCACACGCCAAGACAATGACATGGACAATCTCACTAGTCGTACCAGGGAGAGAGTACTTTCACTGAGCACCATCTAATAAATCATATATATCACGTGATGTAGATATAAATATAGAACCTCAATATATCACGTGATACTTATAAATCTAGATCCTTGACTTTATATCACGTGATATACCTAAATATCATATAAATCTACAACCATTACGATATATAAACAAGGCCATGTGGTAGTATGGTCGTGAGGCAGGACTCAAGACCCTGGATATAGCTGAACGGCTGGATGAAATGATGGAACTCTAGCTGTATACGTATACCCTGAATGATATTGGATATAATATATCCACAGTGCTCATGGCAGCTGCGCGGCTGCATAATATAATGTTATAATTATGAACCCAGACCGTACACACGCGGTCATTACTCAACTTATAGTCCGCTAACTGGAGGGTCACGCACACTATTGTTCTGTATTTCATGGTAGTACCCCTGAACCACGTCCACCACTTAAAGTGTAGTGGTAAGGTTTACAGAGATCACAACTTTATGGACCTCTGAATATATTGAATTTTCAGTTTTGTGTAGTGTGTGTGATATATTATTGTTTGAGAACTATGGAAGCACGGCATTGAAGTTCAACGTGGGGGGCGTTAAGAAACTTTTATATCTTAAAGAACTTATGATATTAATTGAAACTTTGATAACTTTATAAAGCACCTTAGGTTAATGGACCACCTGCGATGTTATCAATTTTATTATTGTATCGAATATTTGACTGATGGTAATGCAGTTATCTGAGGTTAGAGGTCAGAAAACTTTGAAACCTTGACGTCAAAAAGAGTACAAAATAAAAATAAAAGCTACAAAAATGATTTCTTAAGTAACATGTCTGAGACATTATATTATCGTCACGTGGTTCAAGGTGGCGATACCTTAAACACAATAATCGGTCCTTCCAGTTTTCAGACAGCTCAAGCAATAATAATTCAGAGAGTTCATGCAATAATAATTTAGGACATAACTTTCAAACATAATCCTAATCATTTAATCGTAGGTCTGCGGAATTCATGATATTGATCCACTGTCGAATCGATGACGTCACGTATTTTGTGTCACGCGTTTGAATTTTAGATAAATTTCATGCATATCTGAACACTATGATTTCTTATTTCGGTTTAGAAAGTTTCAATAAACTAAGTTGACCTTAGTATTTAGTTGATATCAAAGACTTTTATATTTTGATCATTCGGTTTGCGAGAGATATTTAAGTGCTTTTTAAGCTCTTTGAAAAAGCGACGCTAGGCTTAAATAGGCTTTGAGCCTTACTGGTCATACTGGCGCACCATAATTCCTCTAAAAAGGCTAAAGTTTTGAAATTAAGATTGACGAACAAATTTGTGGAATAAGCTTCTAAAAACAAAAAAAATATTTTACGCCACGATTTCATATCGAAAATTTCAAAAACTAGAAACCATCATCCATAGAAAAACTCTATAAATTACGATATCATTTCAAAACGCGAAAATAGCGCTTTCTTTACAAGATTACAAGTACACTACGGTCTATAATTCCTCAAACCACGCAGAAGGCAATCACAATAGACCTACGCATACTAACATAGAGCAATTAAGTTTAACTGAACGCAGAGACCAAACAACAACACAATATTTATCGGGTAATGAGTGGATAGGTTTGATAATAAGATTATTACCTACAGTTATCTCTGCTCATTATCTATGCAATTAAATGAGTCATAATTAAATGAGTCATAAGATCAGGGTTGAATTAGCTATGATTGTTTGCATGTTGGTCAATTTATTTGGGAGACCAAGCTGTCGGATCTCGATGAAGTCGTAGGGAGGTTTGGGGGGGGGGGGGGGGGGGGGGGGGGGGCCGGGGTAGTTTATAGCTATATTAATAGTTTATAGTATGGTTTACAGTATGGTTTAAAGTATATCTCTAATGTTTATAATATATTATACACTGCATCTCAATATTAACGGCAGTATCTTATGATTAATTGAAAAAAAGTAATTTGCTCGAGAGAAACCCTCCACAATGCTCCTTTAGTGCACAGCAAGACCGTTACAATGCCCCCATAGTTTCATTGGGGTCAGCATGTTTGACCAATTGTGACTTCAATTCTAGTGAACCTATACGTCAAAAGTCATCGAAAGCACCCGAAATTTCAAAATTGTCGGAAAACATTTTTTAGAACATTTGAGACGTCAAAAAATTACTAATTCTTCTACCATGATAGTGAAAGTGATAAAAACATCAAAAATTGTAAAACAGGCTAGTAAAATTGCCCCGAAATTACGAACTACTATTTCTGAAAATCGCTACACTACTTTCTTGATCTATCATAGTAAGAATTATAAGATTATAATGCACCTTTTTTATAACAAATCAGAACATCTGAAAGCGTACAAAGTGTCTTGAAACGTAAGGACCATGTTTGTGTGCGTGTATGGATGTATTACTAGCAGAACTACAACCAAATAGAGGTATAGCTGGTAGTAAGCACTTAAACAGTAAGAACTTAAACAGACTAAAGCGTTGGATCCCATATTTGGATTTTAGTCAGTCGCCGATGAATCGCAATTATATCAGCGTTGTAATTCTATGTACTAATGTGTATTGTGTATAAGTGTACGCGTATATCCCATATATTACTCAAAATATAGAAACTTACAAATCAGACCTCATTAAAACAATGTTTAATCACAGAAAGTTATAAGTTACATAAATAAACTCACGTTGATGAGTTACTGGGTAAACTGAGAGTTCTTCCCACGGGCTTCTTCTTCTCCAGATTGAGCTCCTCGAGCGGATCCCCCTCCGCCCCTGCCATAACCATTGCCATGGCGGACATGCTCGCAACAAAGCAGCTCTTATCTGTTTTTATACCCAGGAGCTTCTCCTCGAGCAGCCTCCTGTGGTCATCCGCCTCTTGTTTTGTCATCTTGGTGCGCTCAGAACAGTTAAGGGGGTCGGAGTCAGACTTAGTGACGGAGAGGTGGGGGCTGGTAGGTGTGGTGGGGATACTGGACATGGTCAGTCCGTCACTTGGTCTTATATCTCTATCACCTGATCTTGCTAAGATACATGTGCACTGTTAGTTTTCATAATTATTATACACAATAAAACTTGCTTCCAAGTAGCTGCACCCCAGGGTTGGGAGATGAAAGACGAAGAAAAAACAGGCCACGAACAGAGGTAATGGTATAGATAAATATATTATAAATTTATGGGCTAGGTGCTGCATACACAGCTTGCTACATTGACCACACCTCAGTATCATTACTTACATGTTGGTTAATAATTGAATCGTTGTGATATGTTGGATATTTAGATGAAACGTTCAGCCTGTTACCGTAGCGTCATTTGCATTGCCAACGTAAGTCACAACACTGATCGCTCGGTTTAAAAATACCACAAGCAACATCTCAGAACAACACTCTAATAAAACAACCAATCCCTCCTCTTACGCAATCTACAAGCTATTTACCAAGCTTGACCTCCGATCCACCAGATAATGAACAGTTGACGTATTCTTCCAGCTATACTACAGTTTATAAAATTATATTCCAGAATCGGAAACCTTTTAGGGCATAATAAGAAGATAACGCGGAACAGCAGCAATCATGCTAGAAGTGAGTCAATCAATATCTAATGTTGAAACTTTTGAAAACACTTTGAATGGTGTGATAATATATAATATATTATATATTATATATTATATCGTATTAATATATAACTTTTATCCACCAGCGGGCTTAATTTATATCTATTTGTTTGTTGCTGGATATTTTCACCTCACCCTTTAGAACCGCAGGGGACCTCAAGATTGCCTATCAAGTATTACTATTAGATACGTAACGGGCAATTAGAATTAAATTGCGGACTGTTTCTACTGTTTCTACTGAGCGACTTCATACTTTCGCGCTGGTTTAACTACGAAAACGTAATCTGTTTTTTCGAATATAATAGGCGGGTTTATACTTTTGTATTTCATCTGCGATCGTGAAGTCCCGGCCGTAGGCACGGGTTACACTAGTAATATAAAGTCAGTATACATAATATGTTGGGGCTTATTTCTCAGTCACGGAGTGCCGGATTGAGATAATTCTTTCCGATATGACTTGCTATTATTACTCATTCGAAAAAATATACCAAATTAAATAGGAAAGATGTTAATTTTTACCTAATGAACGTTCAATTTTGAGGATTTTAGATATTTTGAATGATTGGAACGAGTCAAACTGTATTGCATTGTGTTTGGTCTTTTACATTTTACAATTACAACACTAGTCCTGAAAATGGAAGCTCTAGCTACTCAGATGACTAAGATATCAAGCATAACGAGGGCGTTTTCAGGCCGTTGCCGGGGAGATTAAGTTTAAATATTGTAGCATAGATGTGGTGTTTATTATTGAGTAAGGACTGCAACTCTAGCAAGGGTAAGACTATATATCATGTTTCATTAACACGCAACAGCTATGAGCTAGATTCAATAACTACATGGCATGGATGATTAGAATTTTACTAAAGAAAGTCTCAGCTGTCATGGTTGGAATAAATTTTAATTTGACAAAGACGAAGAGAGTGTGAGCCACGTATTTAATACAAACCAAAACTGAATAAAAGCATAAAATTCTGCTTTTGAAGACTCTTTTACCAGCGCGAGGTTCAATTAACTTTGAATGTACAGCAGAATGCATGAATAAAGCCGTAGCCAAAAGCAAAATAATAGAACTTGAAGACACTAACAACGCCTGACGTTATCAACAACTAAATATTATAATACAAGATAGCATATTTTAACTTAACATAAAACAAAGGAAAGTAAATCAGAACTTATTGGTACACCCAATAAACACAATAACACACGCTTATAGACTCTTCCCAGAGAATGAAGTATTGATGTGCCAAATGTGGGTTGCAAATAAAGGACTAGGTAGTGTAGTGGAGAGTATTTCTCGTATTTTCTGAACACAAAAGAGGTAGATTTTCAGTAGGACAATGGCATGCAGGCCATGCCAAACAGTTGAACAATCCGGCGGCATATCTAATCAAGAATAATGGTCAGACGGGAGACAAAAAAGGCTGCTCAAATATATAACGGCTAAGTCAGAATCAATTATCTTTCATCCCAATCAAACCCAAATTGGCAAGCGATTATGTATTAATTGCAATAATTTGTATCGTGCAGAAAAAGTGGTGGAACATGTTTAGGCTTCGCAACTTTGCTCTCAGGTGTGAATCTCAGCGCCAGTTAGAGAGTCATTTCTATATAAATATAATTACGATGACTCCTTAATAACAATTACCAATATGTTGGTACAGCGATAATGAGAACAAGACATTGTCTTAAAGTCATAAGGCCTTAAATTATTCTAATTTGATAGACTTGTCTTGAACAGGACACTAAAAGTAATCTTTGAAAGTAATTAATTAATTGCTTTTGCTTCAGATGTGAACAGCACGTAAACAGTGCAGTCACGTGAGTAATTAGAGCACCATATCGTTCGTCAACAATGAAATTCCTGGAAAATGGTCTGCCTGTAATTATAACAAACTACCGATTTAATCACTTGTGGTTCGAAAGAACCGTGTTCCAATATAAACATTAAACAAGGCCGAGGCTCACAAAGGAAAGTTGCCCAAATCTTGCTTTAATTCTAGTTCAGGACTTTGTAGGATTTTTTAGATTGTAGTGCCACAATTTACTCAGCCAAATATTTATGCGGTGAACCGAACGAAGAAGAAGCCACCTGCCTTCAAACAAAACGCACTGCCTTCAAACAAAACGCACTGGTACGTGGTCATAATGAAAGGCAAGAGAGTTTACTTTTTCTAAGCATTATTATCGGCAACAGCCGACATTTCTTTACTATTGTTCGTGTATACTATTGACCTACATGTTTGTAATATTGACATAGCTCACTCTGCCACGACTGTTTCGAATCAAACTGTAATTATATGTTCATTTGGCTCATCAACATCACAATATCGATGCAACAAAAGATACAAGTACCAACATAATCAAACAATCTATCTTCCCTACTCATCATCAAATAACAATACAGTACAACAATACGTTATACAATGAAAACCATTTTCAATACATTTTATACTTTTATTATGTTATAATAAAAAAGGGATATAAAAATCGTTTATAGTAGGCACAATAATATATAAAAAATAATTTCCCGATTATCATCACAGATTCACCAGGGGCGAACACCCAGAACCACACAGCTGAATTACAACTAATATGATCACGCAAATTATATTCACAAGGTTGGTTGCGGCGATATAAAGACGTGACGTCACAACCCACAGCTTCAGCTAAACAATCTAGATATTGGACGGGAAAATTTCTACATAATTCAGGCTGAAAAGGGTTGCTAGCGAGAGTGCTTTCTAACAATAGCAGTTTACCTGCTTTACTTAGGGGCGAGCGGTTAATTAAGATTGACGAAGATTAACTTGGTGCTCTCTCGTGCAAGGTCAGATTGCGCTATTATAAGCTGCGAGAAGGGTTTATTCTAAACTTTTTTAAACCTACACACATCACAATTTGAAGTGACTGAGGGCCGAGGGGGAAGGCACAACAACAAGCGACTATTTATACTGCACACGATGTTGTACCAGTATAATATATAATGCATCTCATTCTTTTGGTTTCATACGCGTACATAAGGTTCGTGACCTAGTTCGAGAAATAGTATTCTCGTGAAATTGGACGCAACCTTACCAAAGCTGCACTATAATCAGCAAGATTGCATACCAAAGCCAGAGAGAAATTAGCTCGGAAATTTAGCAGCAACGGCGCTGAACTGCACTCTACACACAGAACTATAATTACTCAAATGAAAAACACTACAACGTATGATAAAACAACACACACGAAATAAAGGATGTGTACACAGACAAATGACCTCTTGAGGAAGATGAAGAGCCCGTACTACACAGCACAGGGCAGTCTCGAACGTAGTACGTACAGAAAGACTACACACTTCGTCACAGTCGTCATGATGTGTTAGTGTATTAGGACACATGATGTGGTCACATTGTAGCTGTGTGGTGGAGCACTCTGGTAGTGGAACTAGTGCAAGGTTCCAGTGCACCTGTTGGGTGCAGATGTAGGGGCTATTTATAGAGTCTGGTCAATTTCATGGTTACTATCTGAGATCCGACCCAGCCCCACAATTAGGCACTGCATCACATGAAGAATTGTTGAAATAGGAGAATTGTTGGTACCTGGCACCTCATTTAAATGTGAGAAGGTGTTGATGGAGCACTGCAGAGTGAGATGCAGCTAGAGTCTGCTACAAAACAGAGGTAACATTTCCATTTATGAATTAGATGCGGTGAATACGTTGCGTATAATTAACCGCATGTTTTTTTTTTTGCATAATTTGTTGTTAACGACAAGTTTCAACGTTTTGGGTCTGTGGATTAGACATTTGAGGACCATGATCTGGACATTTCGGGACTGAAGTTTACAATAAGACACCTAATAAATCTGACCTGCATGGTTTATTCATCATATTTGACAAAGAAGCGTCAAAATGTAACCCTGGCCCTGATGGGACTGTTTCATACCCATGGTTAAGAGTCACACCACATGCAAATCATGATCAGAGAGGTGAACAATTTCATGAAATTAACTGCATAGTTGCTACAAAGTTTGTCTCACTTTTCCTAAATAACTCGCGATTATCATCGCCACATGATGAGACTTTAAGCAAGGGTGCCATACCACACTAAATTTGCGTCTGTGGCCTGTGCTTAAATTACAATTTCTCTGCATATAAATAAAATATGAATAATATTTAAAACAAATGATATTATGTAAGTTCAGTAATATAATAAATACATTATATTCCTATGCGTGTTTTATATTTCATGTAGTAACCAACTAAAGTATACATGAATAAAGAGCTGAGAATAAAGAGTAACCATTCACAATACTTATTTCAGATGAGGGAAACTAAAATTCTGCACACTTAGCTAGCTGAAGTTAGAAAGTTAGAGGAAAGTACGTTGTTGTTGCTATGGTAAAATATTGAGAAAGATAACAATTTCGTT